AGACTAAATTAAGCGAGTCTGGTGTACATTTTTTAGGAAGGAACATTTCACACTGAATGGAAAAAATGTTCTATCACATATGAAATTCATGCAGCTGTGCGGAACTTGGTCCAGATGGTTTAAGACTATTAAACACCAGCAAATGATAGACAGTAGGCCTTCCCAAGATTATGTGATAAAGTCACAATCTTTTATTTTGACCATCCCCCAAATTTCTGCTTTGTATTATTTCCAATCATATCACATATTGTCATTTATAATTGTGTTTCTCTAAGAAGGTAAAAAGAAACCCACATTGTCCCTACTAAGTGCTAGAAACAAAATATTAAAAGAATAGAAGGCCTCAGATATCAGCTATGTCATTCAGCCACAAATTGCAATGATAGCTATGACACAAAGTATGCAAATGACAGCACTTGATTATTACTCTCACAAACAATAGTTTCTAAAAATATTTCTTAAGAAAATATTGCTAGATTGAAAATCCCCCCAATATTTTCACACCAAGCTAATTCATGCATACTCTTTAAGAAAATTAACATACTCCTCAAGAATGCTGAACAAATCACTAATAAGAAAGGAGCTTCAATTGATTTTGAAATAAATCAATAGGTGATTAACATAATATTTTTTAAATAGCAGAATGTATATATATATATATTACATAAACATATATATTATATTTTCAATACCTTTTAGCTCTTAATCGAACAAGGGCTTTAGACTATTGAGCCTGGCTCTACACTGCCTTACAACTTCTTTAGGATGCCTTTAGTCTTTATAACGAAAATCCTAAAATGGTCTGTGAAACAAGACTACGACAAACCATTCTGCTGTGAAAGATTTTAAATCATCTAGCCTCTTCTAATAGACTTGAGACTTATTGAGGTAGAAACCATAAAAAATGAAGAAGGGAAATTTAATCCCTGAAATATTGATTTGCACATTAATATCATATAGGCAGAGGGCAATTTTGCTTCGTGGAAATGACACATTGTCGACCCTTGGTGAAGTCAGAGCCAATCTAACTGCTGAACATGTCTGAATCTCAAGAGTTATTAAGGGCTTCCCTTCTTGCCTTTATGACTTTTCTTCAGCCTACCAATGCAATCTTAAATGTATTATCTTTAAGAAATAATTGTAAAACCTCAGGGGTTTTCCAGTTAATGGAAGGGAGGCCAAACCACATCAGATTCTGAAATGCAACATTAAACCCTTGCAATCAACAAAACCACCTCAATTCTCATCCATCCAGTGCAGGATCTAATATTGTTATTAGAGATAATCAAATTTCATTGTGTAAATTTAGGTTCATGGTCAGAATGGAAGCAGTAAATTCTGCAATATTAAACAGCGATTTTCTCATCCTCCTTTATGTTTTCCTTTGCTGGTGCAGCATCTTTTAAAGTAATTCAACTAGCTCAAAATTAATGAACAGATTTGGGCTCATCTGCTAAAAACTGCAAAAGATTACAATAGAGCTGAATGTGTTTGCCTCATTTTTAACTTTTAGTGGCAACTTTCACTTCACAGACCCAGAACCCACTATCCCTGTCTAACCCCAGTTGGAGCTATTGCTTTGACTTACACAGCTGGTTTACCTGACCTTTCTTTGTTCCTTGGGTACATTTCACTTTTCAGATTTATGGTATTTCCCTCATATTTCATTGACTCTATCTTCATTGCCATAAAAATGAAAACACTTGAATATGAGTTTACTTTTTTTCATCCAAAAACAACCAGCTATTGAATAAATACTGTGATGCTCTCCCCATTTATGCCATAAATATTAAAACCATTTAAAAAAATAACTGTATAAACCTTATGATCCCCACACTGAAGCCAGGTGCAAGAGGTTATAACAGCTGGCTAGCCATCTTTTATTTTGGTGTGCCTTCCTGCTGATTGAAACCGCAAACCTTGAAAACTATCAAATATTCCCTTAAGAATTTTTTTAAGATGAGGAAGGAAAAGAGAAAACCTTCATTCTCTTTAATATGCTCTTCAGTGGAGAAGAGAAACTCTAAAACACAATCACAGAGGTAGTGAAATAATCCTGAAAGTCTCTTCTGTTGTATTTAAACCATCCTTTCCCCCAAATTTCTATAAACAATTATTTTTATTCTTCAGTTAGAAAAGAAGGAAAAGAAAAAAGACAGACAGAGAGAGAGACAGAGAGAGAGAAAGAAAGAAAGTCTGAGCTTGCTCTGTCAGTTTTGCCAGCAAATATAAAGTAAAATAAGTGTTGATGGCACCGAGAGTGTTACATACCCGGGCTGTGTTTTTGCATGGCTCTCAATGGAAGCGATCGATGCCCGTGTCACTGTCGCGTCCCAATCGCAGCCAAGTCTCAGCCTTAATCTAAGCAACACCCGAAAAGGCAGCGGCAGCCGCAGCCTCTCCCTCACTCTTCCATCCATCCACCCAACTAAAAATATAATACTACATATGAGCTTTAACCACTCCACGTTTATAGGGATCAAGCCACTGAAAATCCAGGAGAACACAATAAAAAAAAAAAAAAAAAAATCCCTCCTTCTGTCTCTTGTCTCTCTCCTCTCTCTCTTCCTCTCCTCTCTGTCTCTCCTTTTGCCATCTACATGATCCTTGATTAAACATGGAACAGAGTTAATAAAAAGGGGGGGTGGGGGTGGGGAAGGGCTCAAAGAGAGGAAATGCAACTGTCAGAAATCGGGACGGCCAGATTTCCTGGTGAACCTGCCTCTGTCTGAGTCAGTGTCAATCCACCATCTTCCGCCAGTGAACTTGTCTTTGGGTTTTTGTTTGGTTGGGGGGGGGGGGG